TTATCTTTCGTTATGAATAACAGCATAGATTTCGAAACCTGGTGTTCTGCTGCTAGTGCTATTTTCCTTTTGTTGTGCGTATCGATCTACCCCGTGGCTTTTACCGGATGTCACATGCTCTCGCGAACGTATGGGAATGCGTTACAGGAGGAATTTCGAAATAATAGTTTCAACCAGTGAATCATTTCGAATGTAATTCGTCCGACAGCTTCATTAACATTTAGAGATAGAATGAGTTTTGAGAATTATCAACTGCAATATGTATCTTGTTAGCTGATATTAAGCTTAAAAGAGTCAAAACAAGATGCAACTGTTGTGTTCATTTGTGATGTACCATATTCCATTAAATTCGACCAGTTCAAAAGTGACATATTCTTTGTGGTTATTTTTATTGAGATGGAATAACTTTTACAAAAGCGTTTAAAATAAACGTTTATGTGTTCACACTTTTCATTGATAACCAGTCATCAAAAATGACTAAGTTTCATGTCAAGAAAACCATCGATATCTGTGGGTTTGATGCAGGTTTTCATTATTAAATATATAAATATCCTTATTCAACTCTTAATTTCTCGTTCGTCTGGCTTAGTCCAGAACTGTTTTCCAGGTGTTGTTCATTAATCTCACTAATGTGTCACTGGCGAATACCCCCTCATTCATTGATTTTATCACGGGATACACCATTTTAAGAAAAAGGCACAGGCCAATCAAACAGCTAGTTTACTGTGCGAAAGAAAAGAACATAATAAGTTCCCTTTGGATGATTCGGGAATTCGACTTTTAAGATAATATAACGTTGACTAACAGGATACTTTCCTGTAGGGTATCTTCGGCAGTGCGCAACGTAATGGAAATAGCCCTCCAAACGAACAGCTTTGAACCGAAACCATTTGCCACACTGTAAACGACCAGGAAACGCTTAAAGCAGCTCACCTGTGGTCCGCTATGAACGATATTAAGTTCAATGTGCCAAAGTGTAAGGTTCTATCTCTACGACACAGGGGGCGATTTTCGTATTTCCTCGGAAATGAACAACCGCCTCACGCCGCAAGTGAGTAAGACCTGGGCATCATCATTCAAGAAAACTTACCCTGTTCACTCAAATGTATCAAGGTGTCCAACGCAGCTCTACAGAATGTCAGTTTACTTAGGCGGGTCTTTGACCGGTTTGTGTCAGTACTTTTCTCCCTTCTACTATCAGCATACATTTGCCCACTCACGAAGTACGCTATTCAGGCATGGAATCCATNGCTAAAACGTGCGTACAAAATGCTGGAACGTCCACAAACGATGGCCACCAAATTGGTAAGGGGATTGAATCGGTGTTCTTACGCAGAGAGATTGAAGTCACTGCGGTTATATTCCAATCACTACCGACGCATCAGAGGATATGAGATTATGTTATAACAAATAATGCTAAATCCAAGCCATCCGTTTCTGAAATGATAACCCAACGTTCATCTTAGGGGACATCCACTCAAACAGGTGGGCTGACAATGCCGCTTGGAATGCCGGTGACAGTCATTTGCAATCAGAGTGTGTTCGATTTGGAACTCTCTGCCATCCTACGTCGTCTGTGCTCCAAGAGATGAATCTTACAAAGTGAGACTCGATGAAACATTGGCACACCTTTCATTCCAACATAATTGAAGTTGCGTGCAGCAGTGGAAGAAGCACGCATCACGTGACATTTTACACAAGGAAATGTATTTACCATTGTTTTTAACCACCACATGAACCAATGAGACGTGAAAAGCATGAGGTTGTGAGTTATTCCAAGGATAAATCTTTGATTTTTGATCGCTGACACTTTAGATGAGTGGTTATATTAATTTGAACGGTCAATGTTTGAAGGCACATAATTTCTATCACACCTGAACTGTAATCATCATGTGGGGAATATATAAACCAATAAGTAGTGCAACTGTCGCCCAAATGCAGCGAACCATATTGGGTGTCTGGTCTATGTAAAATCAAACCATTTTATCAAATATTATACTATAGAATTTCATTAGAATTATCATAAACAATTCTTAGAGGTTTTTCGTGTGAATGGTTGTCTCATGACGAGATTGTCAATCTCTGTGAAACAGAAACAATACCATGCAGCTGAAGTGTAGTTCACTTCGGACAAACCGGTCTCGTTTAAAAAAAGCTTGTCTTGCAAACTACGTTTACATTGACGAGTCAGTTTGAATCCCATCTGCTTAAAGTGTCCTAATACGGTGGTCAAGTCAGAATTCATTGCAACAGGATTGTTATATGCTGGCAAGCACTATTCGACCGTCTTTCACCGTCACAACGCATACGTCACAGATCTGTTCAGTGTAGACAAAATGATGCAGTTGTTTGTCCGTTTGCACATCTACCGACCACAGATGTAAAAATTGATGAGTTTTCCTTACATTTAAGAATAAGGTTTGTTAAAAAACAAGTGGTAATATCAATGTTGCTTCTATCCTCCTGCATTAGTTTAAGCCGATGTAAACCTCGGCGGTTTAATGTGTGAAATCATGTTTTCCCTTACGGTATTTGTACCAATATAATAACAAAAAATATATATTTTATATAGGGGATTTCACCGTGTATGGACCAAGTGAAAGATGAACTGGAAAGCTTGGAAGCGCTGTATAGCTGCTTCTACTTGACTGAGGTTCATCGGTAGTTTAAATCCCTTGACAAAATAATACATCGACCGCAAAAACTTGGCAAAGGTGGTTTAGGTATATCGCATAAAATTTTAAATGAACAGTCCGATCAGCTACCTGGTAGGTGGGTTTGCTGTGTCCTCGTGTTCGATCTGTGATGCTCTCGGTTGAATCCCCAGTTGGTTCGATGAAATCATACTTCTGATGAAACCCAATCAAATCGAAATAGCTTTTCAGTTCTCGCTTGGTTTGCTCCAAGGAGAAATGCTTTACTAAACTGATTCGAATACTCCACTAGTTCCATGTAAAAAATATTACCTGAAATAATAATTATGGTAATCGAATCGGACTGAATAGTTCATATTCACAAAGCTTCATTTAAGGTACGCTTGCACGATTCCGCTTGAGGGATCTAACGCTCTGGGAGACCTTCGGTTTGCTTTAACAGATATTCACTTATCTCTCTTTTGATGTCGGGTCAAATTAATTTACTGAATGTTAGTGATGGGAACATTTGAATGTTCGTGAATGGTTAATAGTATTCCACTCTGGTCCGGAAGTAAAAGGCTCAGGCTTTCGGTGTATGTGCACCGCTTTTGGGTCTCAATATAACCAAACCTCCGGCCTAATGCTTCCCAAGTGCATAGTTCAGTGGATAAACTACGGATTGCCTGTGCAGAGGAAAACAAAATGATGTTCAGTTGAAATCAGTTTCACAAATTTGTTGCCAAACCTTAAGAAGTAACTGTAAGTCAGATAAGCACAACGTTACTGATTTGTAGGCAACCGCGAAAGTAGTCTGTGTATTGCATTTATCTAATGGTATAGTTACATAGAGAATAATGGAGCAACTCTGATGGCATGTTGAATAAGATTGGTCCTTACTTGGCGGAATCCATTGATGAAATCAACGATGGTTCTTGTGTCTAATTTGTGAACTATACCTTTAATCTGAAGTAGAAAAAGTGGATCGAATTAGCATTGAAATTTTAATTATGTGCCTGGATATTCCCTGTTGAAAAAATTCCCCACAAAGGGCATATTTGCTGTAGAA